GTTTAGGCGCCAGAAAAGAAGAATGTGGGGGGTGTTGATCGTAGCCTTTAACTACCTGAAGGGGGGGTTCCAAAGAGGATGGAGCTCGGCTGTTCTCAGTGGTGGCAGATGACAGAACAAGGAGCAATGGTCTCAAGTTGCAGTGGGGGAGGTCCAGGTTGGATATCAGGAAAAACTATTTCACTAGGAAGGTGGTGAAACACTGGAATGCATTACCTAGGGAGGTGGTGGAGTCTCCTTCCTTGGAGGTTTTTAAGGCCCGGCTTGACAAAGCCCTGGCTGGGATGATTTAGCTGGGAATTGGTCCTGCTTGAGCAGGGGGTTGGACTAGATGACCTCTTGAGGTCCCTTCCAACTCTGATATTCTATGATTCTATGATTCTACACTGCTACCGGCTGAGGATTGACTAAGTGGCAGTTTTGCAGAAAAGGACCTGAGGATTACAGTGGGCGAGAAGATGAATATGAAACAACAGTGTGCCCTTGTTGCCAAGAAGGCTAACGGCATATTGGGCTGCATTGATAGGAACATTGCCAGCAGATCGAGGGAAGTGATTATTCCCCTTTATTCAGCACTGGTGATGGCACATCTGGAGCATTGCGTCCAGTTTTGGGCCCCCCACTACAGAAAGGATGTGGACAAATTGTAGAGAATCCAGCGGAAGACAAAATGATTAGGGGGCTGGGGCACACGACTTATGAGGAGAGGCTGAGACTAGGGCTTATTTAGTCTGCAGAAGAGAAGAGTGAGGGGGGATTTGATAGCTGCCTTCAACTAACTGAAGGGGGGTTCCAAAGAGGATGGAGCTAGGCTGTTCTCAGAGGTGGCAGGTGACAGAACAAGGAGCAATGGTCTCAAGTTGCAGTAGGGGAGGTCTAGGTTGGATATTTGGAAAATCTATTTCACTAGGAGGGTGGCGAAGCACTGGAATGGGTTGCCTAGAGAGGTGGTGGAATCTCCATCCTTAGAGGTTTTAAGGCCTGGCTTGACAAAGCCCTGGCTGGGATGATTTAGTTGGGGTTGGTCCTGCTTAGAGCAGGGGGTTGGACTAGACCTCCTGAGGTCTCTTCCAACCCTACTCTTCTATGATTCTGTGATTCTATCATAGTAGTGTACAGGCATAAGGATGCCTTCTAATGTCATCTTATTCTTTACTCTAGTCACTCACCAACTGTGATATTTGCATTTCTGTTTCCCCCTTTCATTATATCTGGGCAGACAAAACACAGTGAAACTAGTATAAGAAGCCACTCTTAGCAGTTAACCTTCTGTCTTGAAACTTCCTTAAATATTCTGGGTACAAATCTGCTCCAACTTGATTAGGATGTCATTTCTGTTAAGCCTCCCAATTTCTGTCATTCCCTTCACTCTTCACCTAAAACAGGTTAGATTAAATCACTCCTTTATTAAGGGAGAGCCTTAGATTCAAAGAGAGGTCAGACTCGTTTGTCAATATAAATTGGGATCAAGTTTTTCTCAAATAACAAAAGGCCATGGTCAACTCCCACTAATAGAAAGATTCCCAGTGACATCAATGATCTTTGGATCAGGCCCGTAACCTTCCATTCTTTAGCTGTAACACAACCATTTACATCTCCTTCCTGACTTTGTCATTTCTCTTTGAGAGATTTGTCAAAGACTGGGAACTGCTGCCCCTTTTTTGAAAGCTGAAGACATATGTTCCCTCAGTATTTATTAAAGACCTAACTTTATCTATTCCATCTATTTGGAAGAAAGAATGTGAATTGAATGTCCAACAGACACATAGGTGGGACCAGGTCCTACTAGTGACTATTGTTCTCAGATGACTTGATGTAATTTGCTTGTCAAAAGCTCAGAAAGAGAAAAGTTTGGGCCAAGTGGTTTTTATATACTTTTCCAAGTATTTTTGAAGGGAAATTTAAGTGTTTTCTTCCTTCCCTGTAGAATTGTACTGCACAGGAAATGGTGACACGTGAAAGAGAACTTGCCATAGTTGCATTATAACATACCTTTCCAGATCCACTACACAAGTGGCACTGATTCTTACCACGTCCTTGGCAATTAGGACAATCCTGAAAGCAAAGCAAAAAAGGTATAACAGAGCAGTGGGTTGAAAGAGAAATACAGCAGCGTGAGGCTTCTGGCATTAGATCCCAAGGGCAATTACTTTTAACCCCAAGGAGTCATCATTCTCACTTAAACCTCATCCTCTCTCTCTATTATACCTGTAGATAAGGGGAGCCTTGCTTGAAACCCATTGGCAAAGAAACCTAAAATTACTAGTGCAGACAGGGATTCCATTGTGAAATTAAATGATCATATCACGGGGAGCAGAAAGTATAAAAAGACTGTCATCCCTACATTGAAATACATGCTCAAAGGTCTTCTGTCCCCTTCCTAGTGGAAACATCAGGAAGCAGGATATATATTTTCTTACCTAGGTTACTGAGTTCATACATAAAACCAGTTGGGTTGGCTTTTCTGTCTGGTTTTGTTTGTTTTACTCCAGAAATAGCCTTGCTTTGTTTTGTTGGGTGGATACAAATCCTTTTTCATGGCAGCCTGCCCACGTGAAATGCACACTTCAGACTATCTGGAGCAGTAAAATCAACTCCTTGCCAAAAACAAGGACTAATCCTTTATCTAAAGCTATTAAAAAGAATATCTCATTATTTAAAGCAACAAAAAGAATGCTACCCTGCCAGAAACCTGAGTTATCTTTTCTTATCCTAAATCAGGAGGGGAAGAAGCAATAAATATAATTATACCCCAGAAGAGCTATTGCAATCAGTAAAAATAATTGTGTCAAAATAGGTATATGTGCTAGATATTTAACCAAAACTATAGAACTGAAATATGATGGCACAGTGATTTTAAAATTAATATGTAGTCTGCATTTAGGATAACATGATGCCTTGGGACCAGAATCCTGCTCCACTGAAGCCAATGGGAGTTTTGCCATTGCTTTCAATGAGAGTAGGACCAAGCTCTTGAAGAAGAGCAGACTTTGAGTTACATGCTGCCGGATTTAAGATTAGAAATATTTTCGATTAGCGTAGGTACTAAGGCACTGAAGTGGGACTTAAAAAACCTGGGCTCAGTCCTGGCTCTGCCACAGACTTCCTGTGGGATCTTAGGCAAAATGCTTAACCTCTTTTTGTGCCTTGGTTGCCCCTCCGTACAATGGGATAATAATAGTTTCCTTCTCCCACCTTTTGTCTGTCTTGTCTAGTTAGATTGTCAGCTCTCTGGGGACAGGACAGTCGCTTAGCACAATAGGGACCTGATTTCAAATGGGGCACTCCTGTCACCCAATTAATGATCCTTTAAAAGTCGGAATGTTTGTGGGGGTTTTACCTGTACTGAATACGTGTGCGGCACTGGAATGTGCATTTTACAATCCGTAAACAGAGGAGGTGCATCCACTACTATTGCCCACGGGGCAGGTGCTGGTGCAACATCAGAAGAGTCCACAAATCCACCTAGAGCAAAGGACTACAGATCAGTCAGAAAAGACAGTGGTATATTAGGGAGGCTAGCATGGAATGGACAAAAACATCACCAGGCACCTCCTTTCACACGTGCGCTTCAGTGCTAGTGGAAGGTGCCAGGTTGATGGCAGTGGAGGAAATTGAGGGAGCTGCTTATTCACAAAACAAATACAATTTAGACAGTGGCAGTTCAGATCTTATCCATTACAGCCCCACCTTCCTAGGGGTGAGAGGTGCCAATTAGTACTGACTGGTGTCATGGTTCCTCTAATGCCAGCCTCTGTTTACTGGGTGGAGACCAAGAAAGACTACTGAATCCATCAGCTGGGAAGGACTTTAGGTCTCTGCTAATCTGTGCTACACTCAAGTCCAAAACACACCAGAGTCACTGCACCCCAGAGTATCAGAGGGGTAGCCGTGTTAGTCTGGATCTGTAAAGCAGCAAAGAGTCCTGTGGCACCTTATAGACTAACAGACATATCGGAGCATAAGCTTTCGTGGGTGAATACCCACTTCGTCAGATGAATGCACCCCAGAGGGAACCACAGGAGGAGTTGTGCCTTAGAAGGCATAAACCCTCCCTCAGGTCTCCAGTGCTCAGAAGGAACATGGAAGCTGTGTCCTCTTTAAACATGTTGCCACCTCTTCCCTTCTCCTCCAGTAGCTTGCTCTCTAAGGCTGGAGCGGTGCCTGGCTTCATCCCATTTGGAATCATTTTCCTACAATTGTCGCTTGCCCTTTCGCAAGGGGATGGAGGGAAGCTCCTTGAACTTACCCCTCCCAAGCCAACCCTTTACAGAGGCCAATCTGTTTTAATTAGATGAGAAAATGTACCCAAGAAAGCTTATATTTGTAACCATATAAGGTTGTATAACCTCAGTGTATTCAATTCTCTTCTCTTTCCCTTTGTACACCCATACCCCTGGTCTCTAGACAGTCCCCCCCCCCTTCTCTCTGAAGGCAGGAGATGTTACAATCCATTTTACTCTGAGGTCAAAGTAAACCGGCCTCACTGTGCTTGAGCTAGTGTGGAAGTTAATTGTATATCAGGAACTATGACTCCAATGAGCAACTTCTGGTATGTTAACAAACCTGCATCTGTCAGTGGAAATTGAAGCAAAGGAACACGCTGTTTCCTGAACTGGACTTTTTTTTTAATTATAAAAGACAATTACAGTCACGGTGGGAAAGGTTCTAAATGAATCTATTGCCCCAGCTTAAATTTAGCTTGTGTGAATAACACTGGGGCTTGATCCACAGCCCACTGAAGTCAATGTAAATACTCCCATTCATTTACTGGGATTTGGATCAGGCCCAGAGCAAACCAGCTTAGAAGAATGAAAAATATTAGTGGCCACATACAATGGACTGCCAGGAAAAACCGGTTACTCACCTTTGTAACTGTTGTTCTTCGAGATGTGTTGCTCATATCCATTCCAATTAGGTGTGTGCGCGCCGCGTGCACGATCGTCGGAGAAATTTTCTACCTTAGCATCACCCGGTTGGTTGGCTGTGGAGCCCCCTGGAGTGGTGCCTTCATGGTGCTGGATATATACCCCAGCCGACCCAGCACCCCCTCAGTTCATTCTTGACAGCTAC